AACCACCAACCACCAACCACCAACCACCAACCACCAACCACCAACCAGCCGCCACCAACCACCAACCACCAACCACCAACCACCAACCACCAACCAACCAACCACCAACCAACCACCAACCACCAAGTGTCCGCTCCTGTGGGATAAAGTCGAGTTCCGCAACTGCGCAGGATTCCGCAACTGCGCAGGATTCCGCAACTGGGATTCCGCAACTGGGATTCCGCAACTAGGATTCCGCAACTAGGATTCCGCAACTAGGTTTCTGCAACTGGGATTCCGCAACTGGCGTTCCGCAACTAGGATTCCGCAACATTGTGGATTCCCTCGCTAGGATTCCGCAACTTTGTGAATGATGAGGGGGTTGGCGTGATGTCAAGATGGGGGGTTGGGGGGGGTTGGGTGGGGGGTTAATGACGTTGGTTTGGATGTGCTTCGAAGGTGATGTCACAGGCGCACACACTATTGCATGATGTGGAGATCACCAGTTGCAAGTTTCAGAAGGCAAGTTGCAGAATCTGACTTTCCAGTTTCAGAATAGCAGTTGCAGAATCTGACTTTCCAGTTTCAGAATACAAATTTCAGAATCCCAGTTTCAGAATCTCAGAACCCTAATTTCAGAACCCCAGGTTCAGAACCCTAGTTTCAGAATGTGACCGATTAGTTTCCGAATCCGGCTCTAACCCGCTCCTGTGTCTGGTGAATGAAGTTGTTAACATGTCGGGTTGTCCGGTCCTAGAGTTTTGATGACTTGTAGTGATTGCAGGCACAACAACGCAGAAGACGAGTCCGCCAGGAGATTTGTGTCAAGTTTAGTTTAGTTATTCATAGTATGTTCATATTTGTGAAGCATTGAGTCCATTCATGCGGTGCTCACCCTAGTTTTTGGGTATATATAATAGAGCTCATGAAGACAGCTGCTCGAAATGAATCAAATCATTCACCTCTTTTGCAGCGGCATTGTGAAGTGAAGTGAGAGAAAACGAACTATAGAGAAGAGAGAGAGAGAGAGACAGAGAGAGAGGGGGAGAGAGAGAGAGAGAGAAACGGTAGTCGCTTTATCGTTTGGAGATCCAATCCTAAGGCCTCAGTAGCATGGGAAATGGAAGAGACGGGAAGAAAGAAGCTAGCAAGAAAGACAGAAACAAAGTGCTCCTGAGACAAAGTGGCCCAAGCCCAAACTTGAAGGCTTGAAGGGAGCAGCGGTTGCGCAATGGCGGAATGTCTTGGTTTCATGTCTCATGGACTCTTGATGGGTAGCTTTGACGGCAGCTTACACAAACGACGACATCCGTGGTGACAGTGGTGACACATAGGCAAGATATTTAGCCATTCTTTGGTACGGCTGGATCCCATAATTTTTCAGAAACTCAGGCACAGCAGTGTGGCTGGCCTTTGGACTGGTTTGTACGACAATTGCGTCCAAATTCTTTGTCAAGGAGCTGAGATTGTTCTGCTTCAATTGATGGAACACAGAAGCCACATTGTGAAGAAACAGCTCATTTGCAACTTTAAGTTCACATTTATATTTGTGTGTAGTGTACATGTATATACATATATATATATAACGATATATATATGTAGAGTTGCGTAGGTGTATAATATCATAACACAACATAATATAGTATAATATACTATATACATCGATATATATATATATATATTATCACAGTGTATATACAACGCAATTCAGAAGACATCGGTTTGAATAAACTTAATGATGTGTTCAAGCCAAGCTTCTCGTCTTAGTGGGTCGAATTCCGGCTTTCTCAGCAGGAGACGCCTAGAATCACCAAAGAAGAAAGCTCGCAGCTGGCGCTTGTTGTCGTTTGGGTCTCCACGATTTGCAACTTGGCACACATCTAGGATGTAAACCCTTTACGGTGCCCGTTGTTCGCCTAACCAAGATGCCCGCTCTCTTGTCCGCCCCTAGTGCCGGGAACAAGCTATGATGCAGCATTGCATATTGCATATCAACAAGAGGACTTGGAACTTCTTTCTCAAGTCCTTTAAATTGCAATGTTGAA